TAGGCCAACTTTCTGGAGGTATACTGCCCCCATCTGGTATGGAATATGTGGATTTTGAATTGATTTTTTTACACAATCTTTCAATATCTTTTACTATTAAAATCTTTGACTGTGTACATCTGTTCTTACGTGCAAAATATTCTCCATTCCATAATAAATTATTTTAGCCTTGAAACGGGTTATAGCATATGACTGGGCCACACATACAGTATACTTTTGTATTTGCTTGTATCATTAAATCACTCAGAAAATAATTAAAATGGTGATCTCAACCGCCATCAGTAACAGGTAGATTCAGAACATTCAAAAGTGAACTACAGTAATAATACAGGCAAAACGGCATATTTTTCTGCTGTTTTTTCACTAATGGACACAGAACTGACAATTAAAAATGATAATCATTTTTCACTTCATCAATTAGTTCTGGTCCTCCAATTTGATAGACCAAGCAGCAGTGCACTAGTATGTATATGATAAATTAGAGTATAACAGCACTGTTTCATGTTTGACTTCAATTGCTTTTGTTTTAGATTTTTAGATTTGCTAAGTGGAGTATAGAGCGGATTTGCCTGAAGTGACAAGGGTTTTTTGAAAGTCAGAACATCTATGTTTTCTCTTGCTACATGATCGCTCAGAATGGATTCCTCTCACTACTGATTAAATGGATTACAACAAGTGATTATAGAATGCTTTGACATGGGAAAGGGAATTCTCAGTCACTCCCTTAAACTTCACATACAACCAAACCTGTCCCTAACCTTACCTGTATCCCACCTCAATAGCTGCAAGTGTTTTGCAAAACAACATGAACAAAGTAAAGTACCAATTTTTGTTTTGTTTTTTTGTTTATGCAATTACTTAAGACACCTAATATAAAGCGTGACCAACTGTTCTAATGATATGATCTTTAGGAAGCGTCAATGTCAAATAAAAAGAGCATTAAAACATTACAATATTCACAGCGTTGCATAATGTAATTTCACTGGCAATATCATAGTGAATAGGCTTAGATCTACAGGTGAAACTCGAAAAATTAGAATATAGAATAGAATAAATAGAATAGAATAAATCTTTATTGTCCACCGGGGTGGAAATTTTTCTTTGGCTCACCGCAACATACAGTACAAAAACAGATAAAATATACAAATGTCTCAGACATAATGAAGAAACATTTCTAGATTAATAAGATAAAATAAAAACACATCTTATTAAGAATAAATATACTTATACAATAAAATAGCAGCACATTTGTTATTGTTACTTTGTTTGGTTAAGGATACTAATGGCATTTGGAATGAAAGATTTTCTAAAATAACTTTTAGCCAGAGGCTCTCTGAAGTGCCTCCCAGACTTCATTAGTTCAAACTCGCTAGAAAGGGGGTGAGTACTATCTGCAGTGATTTTCCTAGCCTTATTCCTCGTTCTGTCAATGTATATTTGGGACAGTGGTTTTTGTGGTTTTCCTACAATTTTACTAGCCATTGACACTATCCTGTTGAGCTTTTTCTTTAGCTTGCAGTTTAAATGGTCAAACCAAGCAGAGAGGTGAAAAGTTAAAACACTTTCAATATGTGTAATATACACTAGCTCAGTAATCTGAGCACTGACACCCAGGCAGTTCAGTCTTCTAAGAAGACTGAGTCGTTGTGAGCATTTCTTAAAGATAAATTCTGTATTATCGGTAAAACGTGCAAAATATCGTGCAAAAGTTCATTTATTTCAGTAATTCAACTTAAAAGGTGAAACCAATATATTAAATAGACTCATTACATGCAAAGTGAGATATTTCAAGCCTTTATTTGTTATAATTTTGATGATTATGGATTACAGCTATGAAAACCTTAAGCTGTAAGCCATAATCATCAAAATGATAACAAATAAAGGCTTGTAATATCTCACTTTGCATGTAATGAGTCTATATAATGTATTAGTTTCACCTTTTCAGTTGAATTACTGAAATAAATTAACCTTTGCACTATATTCTAATTTTTCGAGTTTCACCTGTATTGTGAATATTTGATATATTGCCTAGACCTAATGCTGGAAAGTTGTTGTTTTTTACTCATGGTGTCTGACATTCCTTTGTGGATAACTGTAAGAGAAAGACACTAAAATAATGCTTAAGTTTCTGTAAATGTTTGCATAAATATCATAAAGATAATAAAGATCTGTTTATGAATAATTTAATCATTATAACATGTATTCATGAGTGTTTATTTGTACACCACATCTTTGAGTCCACAACCATTTGAATAAACACATTTGCAAATTAGAGGACATATTTGCTTTGGGTTTCATGAGACAAATATGAAAACTGTTGCATTTGACCAGAGGCAAACAGGAGTGAGGTCATGGAGACAGTTAGACTCTATAACCAGGCCTCCAATCCTGAACAAACCACAAACAAAATATAAGGTTTTGCCACATGGTTTGATACTGACAAAAACATGCAGATAATACTCCTCTGAATAAAATAAACAATTTTAATTTGGGTAACACTGTAATGTTAAGGGCAATGTGGAAATGTTAGGGCCGTTCTTCCAAAAAATGTATTCACTTTTAATGCATTAAGGTTCTCTAAATGAAAATACAATATTATAGAATAGATAGTTCTCATGCTCTATGCCGTGTGGTCAAAATGTGTCCTAATATTTTTACTATATAATAACCATTTTATAAAAATAGTAGACATTTGAGGCTGTACTATATTGTAAATGAAGCCACTTCACAGTCATATAACTATGTACATTAACTATGTCCATCCATTGAAAGTTCACAAAATCAAAATGTTCATGCATCAAAAAGTACAAAAATACATTGTAAAAGTAATCCATATGAATCAAGCAGTTTAAGAAAAGTCTTCTGGAGACTCAACCGTGCTGGCTTGACGAGTGAGAACAAACCTCATTGGATAAAACTGCTTGATTCATGTGAATGTCTTTTTGTACTTTTAATGTGTGAAAGCTTTGCCTGTGTGGACTTTCAATGGATTAACAAAAAAGGTGAGATTGTTAATAATATCTTCTTTTGTGTTATAAAGATAAATGAAAATCGTATGGTCTTGAAACAACATGACAGAAAGTAAATTATTTCATTCAGAATTTTCATTTTTAGGTGAACTAACCCTTTAATACCTGTTAAATTAAATACTTTATTCCATCATATAAGCTGATCATTAATTTATATGGTATTTCAATTGGACAGTTGTTGAAAGTCAAACTATTGAAAAAAAATGCTTTTGGAGTTAGGAGACTTAGGATATTTTACAAGCATTAAAAAAATGTATTGGCCATCACACACTTCAGTGTTATAGTTAAGTTCACACTTACATATAATGAAGTAGAGTAAGGGTTTTGCGTATTTAGGGTGCTGTTCGAGGGGAGGGCTCAAAGTTTGGAATTTTGGCCCGAACCCAAAGTATTCCCCCCGGTTGTGATAAGAATAGTTAGGACTAGAATGAAGAGATGGGGCGGTGAACGGATGCTATAAACTGTCAACGAACAGAGGGAAGTCTGCTGTATATATACCTCTTATCGTTAATTGATTTGATTAACTGAATGCGCTCCTCTCGTGTTAATCAGGTTAATTATCTGAACGTGCTCCTCCCGAATTTTGTTAATAAAATATTATTAAATGAATGAGAATGAAGTGTACATGGTCAATGACTACAAACAAATTTACTTTATGGATTTCATTATAATTAAGCCATTAAGGAAGCTTTTCTTTTTTGTTTATTAACAAGAGTGTGTTTGTGTGCACATTGTGACTAGTTAAAAAGTCAAATAGCACAAAATTAAACCATTGTATTTTTAATTCATGTAACTGAAAAAAATAAAAATAATTTAGCATAATGTGATCTTCCCTATAATACCAAAACAATGGACCCACAAAGTTATGAAATTGAGTGACAACATCTATGTCAGCTCTCATGAGCAGACATTGACAAAGGACATATAAGAATCTATGGCAGAAGTTCTCTGCTACTAGAGTAAATACATCATGCAGTATGTGCCTGAACCATTGACTGGATTTAAAAGGGAATTTGTGCACCACTTCAATTATGAGGAAACACTTACAAAGAACTACCGTCTAAGAGGGCTGGGTAAAAAATATAGATTTCTCGATTTTAATCGATTCTCATTTTTATGAACAGATATCGATTCTTAAATCCCAAGAATCGATTAGGCTAGTCATCCTGTTTTCAGTTGATGAATGAATGGAACATTGTAGCGCATCCCATCTAATAAATCGCAATAATCTTTGTGCTTTGTTACTGTGATATGAAACAAAGTCTCAGATTTCAAATTATGTCCATTTTCTTACGAAATTCAAAAACATAAATACCGTTTTGGCGCTGTAGCATGAGATCGCTCTGGCGCAGCTCAGCTCAAGAGAAGCAGCAGCGCGGAGCGCACATGATCTTCTCTTCTGCCTTAATAATACCAGTTACAGCACGAAATAAATATGAATGAGCATCTGAAAGTGTGTCGACTTATATTTCATATAACTTTATTATTATAAAAATAAATAAAAGTGTAATTTAAGTGTTTGTATACAGATCAGTTCATTTTTACCTTCAATATTATAGTAGGCTAATGAAGCCTAGTAGGCTCGCAGACTCCCATAGTTTACAGCATTAGTTAAGAGATTTGTTTACCTTGAGAAAATTTGACATGTATTGTACCTGATATCCAAAATAATCAATATTGAATCGAAATCGAATCGAATTGCAAGCTTGTGAATCGAAATCGAATCGAATTGTGAAATTTGTGTCAATACCCAGCCCTACCGTCTAAACAACAAAATAACCAACATTTCAATAATAACTTGGTCCAAAATCAGTCTGGTTATAAGGTCATTAGACTATAACACCCCCTTTCAGTGTAATCAATCATTCCAGGTTTCTGTCCAACGATGTGACATCAATTTCCCATTTAAAAAAAAAAAACTTTTTATGTCTTCCGCTTAGTGCTGCAACAGATTTGGATACAGTGTCTTACCTCTGTGTAGTCAAAGTCTGAGAGTGGAGCTATACTTTTGATGTACTCTGCTCTAGGCTGATTGGATGGATTGGCGATTGACACAGGGGGTGTTAAGGTGCTCATAGCAGATATTATCGTCTGGAAAATAGAAACATAGATGTAAAAGCAGGATGAATTCAACCAAACTAATCAGCTAGACAAAACTGCTGGAGACAAAACAAAAACATTGAATTGGGCGCAATTTTTATTCACAAAAATGACTTACCACTATGGCGTCCTTAACATTTTTCCGGATATCCAATATTTTTTGCTGCTTTTCTCTGAGTAGAAGAGGAGGAAAATAGGAGGCAACTGTCATTAAACATTGAATGACATAATTTCAAAATTAGGAGTGTCATAATAATTGTCCATAAATTAGGAATGTGATTGTCATATTACTCAAAGGTGGTCCTTATCAAAGGCCAAACTGTGATTAAAGTCACAACAGAGCACATTCTGCACACAGTGACCTCATCCTGATAGTGAACATTGAAATAACGGCACATAACTCTTATATATAATCAATCCAGTTATTATCTAACTATTTTATTTGCCGTGAGATAAGGCCCAAAGATACTGTGTCTAGGTAAACAGCCCAGAAATAAGATCCAAAAATGCTGCATGCCAAAAATGCTGTCTATACGCAGTCCAAAAAAAAATAATGCTGAAAAAAATGCTGCACACCTATATCCAAAAATGCTGTATAGGTGGGCGCTCAAATTTGAGACTCGGAAATGCTGCATGCGTGTATGATGACCAAAAATGAGGCCCAAGAATGTTGCACACGCCTATGATGCCCAAAATGCTGTCTAAGTAGGCAGCTCACTAGGTTTAGAGTCAGCCATAAAAACGCACCGGACGCAGAGGCGTACATCTGAACCCCGTCAACATTCTAACATCCTCAACAGACATGGATGCCGCATCCGTTATAATAAACACAGTAAAGGCCCAGTGGCAGTAATAACGCTAAATAATCAAACACTCACTCTGCGTTAAAGCCGTTGACGTGCAGGATCCGCATCTGTTTGACTATAGTGCTCTTCCCGGATTCCCCAGCGCCTTAAAATCATAGAAAAAAAAGTCATGAGATGATACATAGCCTAAATATTAGTATTTCCAGGGCCATGAAGAAATGATCCATCCATGATGATGATGATGAAAATATATACATATCTCTGATCAGATGATGATGACACATATCTATTTGTTATTAATGTTTTAGTTATAGATTCCTATCTTACCTAATAAGAGCAGGCGGTGTGTGGCTTTATACGCCTGTCTCTCTTTCTGTAACTGTTTCTCGATCTTTTTATTCGCCTCTCGTTGCGCCTTCTCGTCGATGCGCTGATCTTCTGTCTTGCTGTTGCCCAAACATCCCATGTTCAAAAGCCTCTTACTCCTCAGACACACAATAAATAATAATAATATCTCAAATGTCTCCTATAATGGTGATTTAAAATGTATCAGGCTGATAAATAGAGCAAGAAATCCCTGCGCCACGGGAAAAAAAAGGTTTCGCTTTGACCCCTTCACACACCCGAGCGACAGAATCAGTCGGATCTCCTCGATATATTCATGATCAATGTTTGAAAATCAGACATGAAGCGACTGAGGCTCAGATCATCTCTCTCTCTCTCTCTCTCTCTCTCTCTCTCTCTCTCTCTCTCTCTCTCTCTCTCTCTCTCTCTCTCTCTCTCTCTCTCTCTCTCTCTCTCTCTCTCTCGCTATTTTGTTGTAATGTGTGTTTGTGTCTTTAACTCAGCACTGCCTCCCTCTGCACTTGCAGGAAGTGACACTCCACACTCAACCTGCTGATCCCAGGTCAGCCTCTCATATCCCCACTACATCACTGCATTTTAAGCTTATGCAATCATTCATCATTAAAGGCGTCATTCATAAGTGAGTTTGTTACAGAATCCTCTTCCCCAGCTAGGCTTCACAACATAAATTATTACTAAAATGCAATATATAACCACTCCATTTATTCTATTAATTTATCTGTCTACATTACTGATGTTTCCAATAAAACAAAAAAGTAACATGTTGTTTTCATTCTTTTCTCAACAGCATTACAAAAACTGCACATTTTTATGGGCAAACAAAGGTGATTGTAATACTTTTACACTAGTGCACATTTCTCAGGGCAATGTCAATTTCTGTATTGAAAAAAAAAGGTATGAACCATTGTTTTCCACTGCTATTGCCAGGAAGACGATACGGTAGGCCTACATCTAAAACATACTGTGTGTGAAAGCAGGATGGAAAAATGGAAAAGGTAACATACTAAACAAATACACTAACATACTAAAAATATCTCTCTGTGGTCATTAAAAATCCCAGGATGTCTTTCGAAAAAGTGTAGGGGTGTAACCCTGGCATCCTGATCAAATGTACCCGTTGGCCTCTGTCCATCATGGCCTTCTTATCATCCCCATATACTGATTGGCTCTATCACTCTGTCTCCTCTCCACCAGTAAGCTGGTGTGTGGTGGGCGTTCTGGCGCAATATGGCTGCCGTCGCATCATCAGGTGGATGCTGTACATTGGTGGTGGTTGAGGAGATTCCCCCTTCCATGAGTACCCAGAAAAAAAGCTATATAAATATAACAAATTAAAGGTGGGGTATGTGATTTGGAAAACGACCGGCAGATTTTGAAAATATACAATTCAAATGGTCCTACCTTCTTTCCTCCAAAGCCGGCTCTGACTCCACCCATTCGAAGAACATGGACGCGCAATCATGCACGAGCGAAAACTCAGATGCGCGAGAGATTGTAATGACGATTTACTACTAACAAAGAGTATAGAAGAACAAGAGGCGAAACTCTGATGCTTTTTTGGTAACAGCCACTAGCTGGCGCTTCGGTAGCGCGGCCGCCATTTTGGGGTGAAGATTCCAACTGGAGTTACTGGACAACAGCACAGATAACAGTTTGTTGAGGTAGTTTTTTCTTGCATTAGTGAGTATTTCCATTTTATGCAACTTTACACATTTACTACTATTATTTAGTTACCAACTCCACTAGGCCTGAAATATATTTTGTACGTTTTAATCCCCTGGATCATGCTACAAACATGATGATCTTAACATGATGCATTGTCCGTTATCATATAATTGCCACGGGCCACATAACTTGAGACAGGGAAGTTTAAGGATTTAATTAATTATATTACTCTCTACATTAAGTGTGACAGGTAAGAATAAAGTGATATCAGTTCATAAAGTTATAATAACGTTAGACCGTTTCCAGGAGGTACACATAACCTTACATACAAAAATAAGTTATTAATGAAATAAATGAATTCAGCAAATAAATGTAATTGTACTAAAATGTAAATGTTGGACAATAAATATATAACAGCAATAGAATAGCTTTACAGTAAACTGTTTTTTGCAGTACTATCTTATATTAATGACCGTTAAAGCAAGTAAACAAAAAAACACAGCCACTCATTGTGGGGAAAAAGCCTGGTTAAGTAGCACCTTCTTTTTAACTGCTATAACGTTAACTGTTGTGAGTTAAAATAATCACCTAATTATTTCAACCTAAAAATGACCTCTGCACTGGACTAAATATATGTATAATATATGACTGCCGAGTCGCTTTCACCCCAAAATGGCGGACACGTAGCGCTGCTGCTGGGCGCTGGTGTTGCAATGGAACGTTCTATTGGCTTTCACTTCTTGTCAATATACATTCTTTGCTACTAATCATGGAACCGGCTTTACTGACGAGATGCGCATGATGCGTCACAAACTTTGAGTATGCGCACGACGGGGGTCACGCGCGCTGGGGGGAGGGGGGTGTGGTACAACCGTTTGATTGACGGACTTACTGTCCAATGATTCTGATGGTCTTGGAAATGATTGGCTGGAGTTTTTCGAGTCCTGCCCGTTCCACAGATGATTAAATTGCTTAATTTTCATTTCAGTGCTTCTAACTCAGTGGCTGTAAGTGGGTTAGGAATAGGATTTCAAGTTATTTTGAAAAAATTTACAAAAAAGAGAATCACATACCCCACCTTTAAATGAATTATTATTGCACATTTTTCTGTAATTAATCGTGATTAATCGCACCTAGCATTAAAGTTTTTAATATATTTCTATATTGTAATAATTTCACATTTAATCTCCAAATTAATGTAGAAACAACATAAAGACAATATATTTTATCTGATCTAACAGGTAGGAAATATGCAGAAATTGAATAAAGTTATCAAACAGTCTTCACTGCATAAATTACAAATTAAATAGATTAATCCTTATTAAAGCTACAAAAGTTCAGTCAAGAGCAGTGAGTGATTTTCTCTTTTTCTTTTGTTCTTTGATTTACATTAATGACTGACATCACAGCAGCGGGTTTATTAGGCTGCTGTCACTTTAAGACCTGACGTCTGACACACCTCCGTTGTCCTCACAACTCTTTATGGTCATTTAAAGGGGTCATATAATGCAATTTTTGTACAAGCTAGTATGATTCTTTAGGGTCTAAATTAAAAGTTTGTAATATACTTTAATTAAAAATTCTCATTAGTATTGTAAGAAAACACTTATTTTACTTGGTCAAAAACATCTCCGTTTTCAGCACGCCGTTTAGTGCATATGACTTTAAATGATAATGAGCTTTGCTCACCCCGCCTCTCTGTTCTGTGTGTACACCGTTTGTAACACAATAACCATAACGCGTTGTACAGTATAAACGTGGGATTATGAATTATATTGAGAACATCATACATAGAAAACATGCCGTAATGTACCCTAAGTGTAAACCTTAGACGCATTCATTGTGAAGCGTGCAGCTAGCGATTTGCAAAGATTAATATAAATATTAATATAAAGTTTAATAAAACGTTACACTCACTTCAGTTGTTCTAGAGGTTCAGCAGGAACACGAATAGCTGGTACCGATCCTTTTTTCATGAGCAGCTTCTTAGCAAAACCAGCTCATACTGATCCTCGTTTATAAAGCAGTCTGGTGAGAAATGATTCGCGCAAACATGAGAGCATTGACGTTGCTAGTGGGGAATATTCCCTTCGAAAACAAACTCAGCCACTGCATCTTCAGCGGTTCGGATTTAGGAACATTAAAATGACTGCTGTGTTCGTTATTACACCCAAGAACAGAACACCACAATCGCTTAGACGCCATTCTGCTCATAGACAGTGCTCCAGCATATCAACAATGACCGTGCCGGTCCGCGCAGACTGATTGACAGCTCCCTCATGAGCGAGGGCGGGTCTGTGTTGAAACGATGCTGTCAATCAACAATCGTGGGAGGGGCTTCCGAGCGTGTGACGTCACAAAATCGAACGGCTCAATTTGAGGCAGGGGAAAACATTAAAGGAGATTAAAACAAAAACACTGGATGGATTTTATCATTTTATGATGGTTGTGTACAGGCACTGCCAACACACATTTCAGTACAATCAACTTGTAAAAGTGCATGTACCATTATATGACCCCTTTAAGACTTTATTTAACTAATTTAAGACTGTGCTACAGGGATACTCGTGGACATTTTGGCATACCTTTGTGTGTTTTTGTCTGTTCAAGAGCGAAAAGCAGAAGTTAAAACTAAATGAAAAATGAAAATAAATAATAACAAAAGCACAGACTAAATTTTAAGTGGTAAGAGGAACACACATCAACTCATCTGAGCTTAGTAATCAGGCCTATATTAGCCTACATTTGATTTACCCCATTACAATGGTCCCTTAGCAGTTAATGCTATCATAAAAATACACTTGTATTGTAGGTTTAAAATTCCAAATAAAGCACATTTAATGTTCAAAATTTATATTTTAGTCGTATTGCAAGAATGTGCGCAGCAGCGCTCATTCACTGTGAAGTTTAGCGGATACTCTTGCATAAGCCTCGTCTACTCATGACAGCAAAATGGAAATATTTGCATGAATTTCTAACATTTACAGATAGAGAATATACCTGTGAAATGTAAGTTATGCACTGAAGAAAAAAACATGTCTCAAATTCATTAAACAGCACAAATATATGCTATTTGCTATGGTGGATTGATTTGATCCATGATCAACCTTTAGGGCTGCTTAAGAATGCACATCAAATGATCTTGACTCATTGACCCTGTGTCAAATTAGTAGGATTGTGTGAACTTAAATTGTCTTTTATGTAACCGCTTTAACCCGACTGATTTGTTAGGTTAATTTAAGTCAAGATTTAATCCACAATTTTTTAAACACACTTTATGGAACAGGTCTGTGTTGATGATAACAAGCTAAAGTTTCAACATTCCAAAATGAACGTCAGTTATGTCTTGGGGGAAAATGCCATGTTGCAAATATGATGAATGTCATGCAAACTATGTTTATTACTTTGCATAACATTGTCTACAGCTCAACACTGTGTATAGCTAAAATAGAGACATATTGCATATTGGTCAAACGGTGAGGTCCCAATAAAAAGGAGGCGAATAAGAAACTGAAATTGAATAAACTTTCTGATGACAATATTATCAACCTCCGGTCCCTACTGCAGCATTAGTCAAATGTAAAGAGTGATGAAGCACGTGGACATAATGAAACATTTAAGTGGCAAAGTACCTTCTTAATCATCAAAAATGATTCAAGTTGACTGTTTGTTAATGCCTTCAAATGCGACCATATACATTGTAATATATGTTCTGAATGTTTGGAGGA